TGGGCCTTGGAGGGCCTGGGAGGCGGCCCAAAGAGCAAATCGTCTTAAAGACACTGTAGGCTATGACGTCCGCGTTCTCGGCTTGCCCGTCTTTAGAGAGTCCAAGACGGCCCCCAAGGCCCCAAAAGGTCGCTTCAAGAGGGGCCCAAGAAGCCCCTCAGACGGCCCCAAGAGGGCCGAGAAGGGGGAGCCAGACCTCAAGTTTGGAGCCCAATCACCCCAAGATGATCCCCGAGACCCTCAAGAAAGCTCCACGATGGACCCAGTAGGGCTCCAAGAGGCCCCCTGAGGACCAAAGTTGGCCATTGCTGAAGGCTGTTCGGGCTGACCCCAACTTCAATTTGGCTGGTGACAAATCCCCCTCTCCACCCGTTGTTTCGCTAGCGCTCCCCCGCTACCCTTCTCAAAACAGCTCGCCTGGAAACCAGTTCTGGACCAGCTGGTGGTCATACAGCTGACGCACCTGGTAAAGATGCAAGGTACGCCTGCCAGACCACTGGGCGCCCCAAGTATGCTCTAAGGAACTGACTCGCGTAACAAGCTAAGGATGGGCCAAAAAAGCAAGGACGCAATGGCATCCTTGACAAAAGACACAACCCTTACCATGGGCGGTGACTGCAAGCGAAGCGTCAAACGTCTGACTGGCATGTCTCCTACCCTTGTCTCCCCCTCCGGTCGCATCGTTATCGTCCGCTCGGTCGTCCTCTTCCTCCTCTCCTCCAGCCAGGTGTCTCACCCATGTGAGCTGGCGACGAGCATTGGTCGCAGGTGCTTGGTGGCGCGGAGGCTCATCCTCCTCATCCTCCTCCCCCACGCCTCCTCCCCTGCGTCCCATTATTATCATAATTACTCACCTCTCCTTCTTCGTCCTCCTCCCTCCGCCCCCACCTCGTCGTCCGACTTCTCCTCCTCCTCCTCCTCCGCCTCCTCCTCAACCTCCTCCTCCCCCTCCTCCTCCTCCCCCTCCTCCTCCGCAACACCTCCTACTCCTCATCATGAGGATGCCAGCAGGAAGGCTGCCCTGGTGCTTCTCTTCGCTACTGCACGGCGCCACGACACGCCCCGGCCAGGGCTCGGCGGTCGCACCAATGCGGCCACGGCGTCGCGCGCCCTCACTGCGCGGAGCCCCGCAGCAGGCTGCGCGCGGCCGCGGTCTGCACGAGCGAGTAGTCGGCCCCCGAGAGGACCGCCTTCGCCTTCTTGAGGGAGTCCACCTCGCCCGCCCGCGCCGACTTTCGCATCTCGAAGTTGGCGATGAGCCAGTCGCACTCCAGGTGCAGGTCCTTAATCTCCATCTCCTTCAGGTACAGCTCCTTGGACGTGTCCTTGTGATCCTGCTGCAACTTCACCAGAGCGGCTTCAAGATCCGCCTTCTCGCCCTCCTTCTGCTCCGTGGACTTGGAGTCGGCGGCGCGCTTGTCGCCCGCTTCGGCCATGAAGGCCTCATACTCGGCCTGGTCGTCCTTCTCCTGCGTGGTCATGGCGGCCATCTCCTTGTCGAGGTCGGCGATGAGGAGGTCCAGCATCGCCACCACGCCGCCGTGCTCCTCGCTCTTGGTCGCGTAGGCGCTCCAGGTCGACGGCGGCGGGCCGGGGTCGGTGCGCTGCTCGAGGCTCATCTCCTCGGAGATGCGGCCCATGGCGCTGCGCTCCACCTTCGCGGGCGGCACGTACATCTTGGGCGCATCCGCCCTCCGTGCCCGGAGCCACGAGGTGGAGTGTCCTCAGGTCCCCTCGAACTCTTCGCACTCGCGTATTCTCAAGTCTCCCAGGGATCACTTGCGCCCAGGGGTTCTCCACAGCCCTTCTAAGGCACCGAGCCCGTCTGTGGGCCCAGCCCCGTTCGCGTCGGTCGCCGCCCTATCTTCCCAACAAGAGACCGAAAGGTGGCCAGGCGGTCCCGTTCCCGTCCGTCGCCGCCGCCCAATGCGCACGCCCCCGCCCGTGGCACCCCTCCCCCGCCGTTCGCGTCGCAAACTTTCAACGCTTTGCGTTGTTTAGCCTTGCTTTGCCTTGCTTTGCCTTGCTTTGCCTTGCTTTGCATTGCTTTGCATTGCTTTGCATTGCTTTGCATTGCTGTGCGGCGTTTTGCATTGCTTTGCACTGCTCTGACTTGCTCTGCAATGCTCTGCATCGCATTAGATTGCTTTGAATTGTGTTGCATTGCTTTACATTGCGTCGCATTGCTTTGCATTGCGTCGCTTTGTTTTGCATTGAGTCGCATTGTTTCGCATTGCCGTCCACCGCATTTCATTGCATTACATTGCTGTGCATTGCGTTGCATTGGGTTGCATTGCTTTCAACTGTTTTGCATTGCTTTGAATTGCCTTGCTTTACATTGCGTTGCATTGCGTTGCATCACATAGATTGCACCACATGGATTGCACCACCCAAATTGCATCACCCAGCTTGCACCACCTAGATTGCACCGCACACATTGCAAAGAATACTGTTCGGGGCTGGCACTGGCCAACATTCCCTCCAAGAGGCCCGGATCCCCTTGATCCGGGCGCCCTCGGGACTCTCTCGGGCGCTCCCAGGGTCCGCCGCATGACTCTTCTGAGGCCTCGGGAGCATGGTTCGGAATCCACACTTCCAACATGCTACAAGAAGGTTCGATGGGCCCGGTATATGGGGCTTTCACGGGGGCCTCGTGGGCCGTCTTGGATGCCCTGGGGTGCCGGCCCAAGAAAACAAAACAAAGTTGAAACACACAGGCTGCTGTGTACCTTTCCTTACAGTCGGGCTTGATTGGGGAGGACACGCGAGAGGACATAAGACCCTTCCGAGGGCCACATTGCCACAGGAATGTAGGAGGCGTGGGTTGCGAAACACAGGACGCGAGGGCACCCTTGATTTGGCAGGGTCGACCTACTAATCCAGGCCGACTGAAGTGCTTGCCTACCCGCCTTGCCCCACGCGAGAGCGACCAAAGACGGCCCAGGAGGCCACCAGGATCGGCCCAGGACGGCCCCTAAGACCCCGAGAGGGGCCAAGAGTCGGGGGGAACGAAAGGGGGGGATAGCAAAGGGCAGGGTAGAGAATCAGCTCACGTAGCTGATTTCGGCCCGAAAGAGCGGCCCCAGGAGGCCCCCTAAGACTCCAAGGGGGGAGGCCCCGCAAGAGGCCCCCCAGGAGGCCCTCCTGGAGACCCCCCACGGGCCTAGAGGAGGCCTCCGGTCCACGACCCAGGCGCGCGGGGTGAGCCAAAGGCCGCTGCAGCCGCCGCCCCGTGTGGCCTGCCACAGTGGTGCACGGCGCACCGAGCACTTGGCTGTCTTGGTTTTTGGTAACGCATGCCCATAAACAGACACAGACAGCAGGATCCCCCATATTTCCCCACATTTCCTGGGCTTCTGCCCTCCCCCCCACTTCCCTTATTTTTGTCCCCTATTTTCTTAGGGGAAGCAACGATTCATTGTGTCCGTGTGCTTTTCCCCCTCCTGAATTTGGCGGTCTTGGTTGCTGGTGATGAAACTCCCACTGGGGACTCGGCCGATCGCGCCGGCCTCCCGGAAGGACCCCCAAAGGTGCGCCTCCCAGTGGCCCAGAGATCACCTCCGAGGCGGCCGCGATTGTCCCAAATAGTCCCCAAGATGCCTCCAGGGGCCACGATGGCCCGAGATTTTGCCTCCGAGACGGTCCCAAGGTGCCTCCAAGACGGCAAAGATGGCCCCAAGACATCCCAAGAAGTCCTCCAGCCGGTCCAAGAGGCCCCCAAGACGCCCCAAGAGGGCTTCAAGAGCATCTTACCTCCAAGACGGCCCTAAAGCGCCCAAAGAGAGACCCACGACTGCCCAGAGAGGGCCCCAAGACTGCCTCCCAAGGCCAAGGTCCCCTGGAGGCTCCCAGAGGCCCCCAAGAGGCCCCCAAGAGGCCCCCAAGAGGCCCCCAAGTAGCCCCAGAGGCCCCTCAGAGGCCCTCAAGAAGCTCCCACAAAGCCCACAAGAGGCCCGAAATGGCCTCAAGAGGCATCTTCTTCTTCTTCTTCCTCCTCCTCCTCTTCCTCCTCCTCCTCCGCCTCCTCCTGCTGCTGCTGCTGCTGGCGCTGCTGCTCCTCCTGCTCCTCCTGTTCCTCCTCATCCTCCTCCTCCTCCTCCTCGTCCTCCTCCTCCTCCTCCTCTCCTCCTCCTCCTCCACCTCCTCCTCCTCCTCCTCCTCCTCCTCCTCCCTCCTCTCTTCCTCTGCCTCCCCTCCTCCTGTTCCTCCTCCTCCTCCTCCTCCTCCTCCTCTCCTCCTCCTCCTCCTCCTCTGTCTCCTCCTCTGCCTCCTCCTCCTCCTCCTCCTCCTCCTACTCCTCCTCCTCTTCTTCCTCCTCCTCCTCCTCCTTTTCCTCCGCCTCCTCCGCGTGCTCCTCGTCCTCATCATCCTCCTGAATCCTCCTCCTCATCATCCTCTATTATTTTTCCTATAACTTCTCCCTGTCGAACCCCGAGGCCAGTTGTTAGGGCAAGCCAGGCGTTTCGCCTGAGAATTCCTCACCATTTATAATATGGAGCTTAACAAGTGGCAACAGTTTCACAGATGGAAAGCGGGTTTTCAAAATGTGGCTCTCGCCTTAGCGCGGTGCACATTCGTTGTTTTAATGTGCAAGAGCTTTACGGATTGAGGGCGGGTCGTTTTCAAGATGTGGTTCTCGCCTTAGCGCCGCGCACAGTCTTTGAAGCAAATGAAAAGAGTGTCACGCATTGAGGGCGGGTCGTTTACAAACTGTGGCTCTCGCCTTAGCGCGGCGCACTGTCGTTTTAACAATTCACAAAAATTTCGCGGATTGAGGGCGAATGGTTTCCCAAATGTGGCTCTCGCTTTGGCGCGGCGCACATTCGTTTTTAGAGCTTCACGGATTGAGGGCGGGTCGTTTTCAAAATGTGGCTCTCGCCTTAGCGCCGCGCACATTCATTGCAAAAAATGCGAGGGTTTCACAGATTAAGGGCGGTTCCTTTTCAAAGTGTGGCTCTCGCCCTAGCGCGGCGCACATTCGTTTTAAAAATGTCAGGAGTTCCACGGACTCCCATCATCAACATATCAGAAATGGTGTTTTGGAAGGACTCAGGATTATGCGGGTGCAACAGATACGTTGATTCTATGTGCTGAAGTCCTGGGAATGGCGTCCTGGCACGATTCAGGATTGTCAAGACGCAACAATCAGGTTGATCCGTGGCGTTGGAAACCCGAGAGCAATGTTTTGGCATTCAGGGTCTTCAAACGGGTGCCTTCCAACGAGGCAGTTCCATCAATGGAAATGAACCGTTGTAAGAGCCTATGAAGAGGGAGCTTGGAGGGAGGGTGTACTCCACCATCGTTGATAACTCTTGGGTTTACACTGGTCATCCTCCTCCTCCTCCTCCTCCTCCTCCTCCTCCTCCTCCTCCTCTGCCTCCGCCTCCGCCTCCGCCTCCTCCTCCTCCTCCTGCTCCTGCTCCTGCTCCTGCTCATGCTCCTCCTCCTCCTCCTGCTCCTGTTCCTGCTCCTGCTCATGCTCCTGCTCCTCCTCCTCCTCGTCCTCCTCCTCCTCGTCCTCCTCCTCCTCCTGCTCCTCGTCCTCTTCCTCCTCCTGACTCCTCCTCTCCCAAAGGTTCCCTCACGTGGGTTCCACAACGGCTGGGGAACACATAGTCCAACAGCTTGACCAGACTTCGGCCCAACGTTTGGCCGCATGGCCGCTTCCAAAAGGTAGAGGGCGGCGGTGATTCGCTGTGGGCGTCTTCGATAGAACTGCGCGAGGCGGTTCTTCGCCATCTTCAGGATGTCCTTCGCGGCTGTGTCCTCCTGCATTGTCTTCTTGTAGAAGGCGTTCTCCTCCTCGCGAGTCGTCGTGGCCTCCTTGACCTGGCTGTCGAGATCAGAAATGCCCTTCAGCAGCGCGGCGATCTCTTCGGCCAACGTCGAGATGCTCTCCTTGGTGGTGGCGATGCTCTTCTCCAGGTCGCCGATCGTGTTCTCCAGGACCTTCTTGTCGTCCTCGGACTCGTCGAGCGACTTCTCGCAATAGGCCTACAGGCGGAGAGGCAGGAGGAGGCTGAGCGGGGAGGCGGCGGAAGAGGGGGAAGGGGGAGACCGGGCGAGGAGGGGCGGAGCCGGGAGTGATCTCCCCATGGATGGGTGCGTTGCTGGCTTCAAGAGGGAATCGACTGGGCCCCGCGGAGCCATTTGCAGCCCGCGCTCTTGCCCCCTCTCTATTTCTGATGCCCTCCTCCCCCCCGTCACTCCCTTCCTCCCCCCTTCTGTCTTCTCCCCAGAAGAGCGACAGGCGGTCTCACGATGTCTTTCTTTCCTTTTCCACACCCCCTTCTTCCCCTTACCCCCTCCCCTGGACCTGGACGGGAGGGGGTCGCGAGCTGTCAGGGCGTCCAAGATAGCCTGAGATGGCTCCAAGAGGGCCTCAGAGCCCAAGATGGCCTCCAAGATCGCTCAAGATAGCCCAACATGGTTCAAAATAGCCAACAACATGCCTCCAAGAGGCCCCAAGAAGGCCACAAGACGGATCAAAGTGCGTCTGGAGACCCCTCAGGACCTCCCCGAGAAGCCAAAATCCTTCAAAGCCTGGGGAAAACCAATGATGTTAGCCTTGTCGCCGTTTCGCTTCTGATAGGCTTTTGAGGCCTCATGATTGCCCCAAGAAGGGCCCAAGAGGCCCCCAAGACGGCCCCAAGAGCGCCCAAGATCGCCCCAAGAGGGCCCCAAGAGCGCCACAAGAGACTATTTTGATGGCCCCAGGGGGGGGTAAACGTTAGGACCCCCCTCTTTTCACCAACATCCTCCACGACAGCCCCAAGAGGCCCTCCAGGGCTCCCAAAAGGCGCCCCAAAAGAGCCCCAAGAGTACCCAAGACCCCCCAAAGAGTCCCAAGAGGGCCCCAAGACGCCCCAAAAGAGCCCCCAGAGGACCCCAAGACGCCCCCAAAAAGCACCATAGCTCCAAGAAGGCCTCCGATGCTCCAATAAAGCCTCCAACATTGCTCAACACGTTCCTCCCACTCCTCTCTTTGACCGCTCTGTTCCACGAAATGCGTATCTGCTTTCCATTTACCGTCAGCTCTCGTGGGCAGGGCTTCTGAATGGGCTGGCGGGGACTCGCGAAGCGTAAACAATTCTGATGCCATCCTCCCCCCACGTATCTCCCTTCCTCCCCCCTCCTTCTCCCCCCAGAACTTCCCCACCTCCCCCACCCTTCCCTCTGCAGTTCGGGCGCGCCCTCTCCCGCTCCCCGTTCCTCTCCTTCGCTCTCCCTCACCCCGCTGGTCTTCAGCACAGGCATGGCCTTCTTGTCATCATCATCCGTCTGTTCAGCGCCAAGCAGCGCCACCATCTCGTCGATCATCTTGATGACCTTGTCGAAGCTCTTGGCCCCTCCGCGGAGCGCAAGGGAGATGAGCGCCACGCGGGGGTCCTGGTTCTTGACTTTGGTCAGAGCCTTCAAGGCCGCCGTCTGCACCTCCTTGTTGGTCACCTGCAGCTGCATCAGCGTCGGCGTGGGGAGGGTTTTTTTCCGCCATCGTGCCTTCGGCACGTTGGGGCGCGCCACAACGCCTGCTAGTTGTCTGGTACGGCCGCTGTAATTTTGTAGGAGCGACCCCCTCCACCCCCAGGGCGCGCGATCTCAGGGACCGCCCCCCCACACCTTCCCCCCCAAGACGGGCCTGGACCACCGCGAGAAAGCTCCAGGACTGCCTCGAGACCCCACCGGACGGCGCCAGTGTCAGGCCACGGAGGCCCAGCGACCCCCCAAAAGGCCCCGGGAGGCCACCGAGAGAGGCACCGGGAGGCGCCCGGGGAGCCCGCCCGCAAAGCCTCCGCGGGCGAAAGATGTGGAGCATCTGATGCATGGATTTGTTGTTGGCTTCCGATGCGCTTCGGCGTGCGGTGCGCTCCAGAAGGCCCCCCGCCTGCGTCAGAGAGCACAGAGGTGGCCCCAGGAGGGCCCCGCCGCAGCCGGCCCGCAGGGCGGCCCCAAGACGGCAAGAGCCCCCCACGGCAGCCCAAGACCGCCCCAGGAGAGCTCCGCGACGGCCTGGAGGCCCAAACAGGCGGCCCCAGGACTGCTCCACAGCACTGAACTGAAGCGGGTATTGAACTGCTGCTCCTCCTCCTCCTCCCCCTCCTCCTCCTCCTCCTCCTCCTCCTCCTCCTCCTCCTCCTCCTCCTCCTCCTCCTCCTCTTTGCTGCCCTGCTGCGCCGGAACGGTGGCGGGGTTTGCCGCAGGCAGCTGGATGAAGAGTTCCAAGGCATCGTCATCGTTGAGGATCTTGATGGTCTCAGCCAGGGCCAGGAGCTCGTCTGTGCGGGTCTTCGAGCGCTCCTCCCACTCGGCAGTCTTCGTGGCGCAGCCCTTCTCGAGCTCGGCCAGAAATTTCTTGTCCTCCAGCAGGGTCTTCGCCGTGTCGTCTAAGTCCTCCTTCATGTTAACGATCTCCACGGCCAGCTCGCCAGAAGCTTCGAGCTTTAACTCGATCTCCGAGGTAAGAGCCTCGATCTCGGCCGTCTTGGCGGCGCTCAGGGCCTCGTAGTCCTTGATGGCCTTCTCTTCCGTGGCGGTGAGATCCGAGAGATCCTTACCCATGGTGTCCTTCATCTGCTTCAGGATCCCAACGATCTGCCCGCTCTTGGGAACGTAGCCCTGCCCCTGCGCGAGGAAGGCGGTGAGCACGTCGCGGTCGGGCGCAGACATGTCCGCGTCCACGGCAAGGCGACGCAGCACGGTGCCCGCCTGTGTCTGCAAAAAGCTTCCACTCATGCCCGACTCGATGGCCTTGATGGCTGCGGCAAGGGCAGAGAGGTCAGTCTGGAAGTCGGATGACTCCTTGGCGTACGCAGTGGCCTCCTTGGCCCGGAGCGCGGTGGCGGTCGCCAGGGCCGTCTTGCCCTCAGCGCGGTCGGCCTTGGCCTTCTTGATGTCCGAGTCAAGCTGAGCTTTTTTCGACTCCCCCTCCTCCAGCATGGAAGTCACCTTCGTGATCTTCTCGTCCGCCGTCGAAATGGCGGTTTCCAGCTGGCCCTTACCAGTGGTGCAATAGCACATCCGCCACCGCGAGTTACAGCGGTTTACGTGTGTGCGTGTGTGTGTCTCCCGCCCCCCACTGTGTCAGAGGGGGCGATGCATCGAGCCCTGCAGGCGTCCACTGTTTGCTCCAACTCCCTGCAACGCTGGCCTTCCAAGTCGAAAATGCAAGTGAGAGGGCCCCTGGTGGAGAAGTCACAAACCCTCCCCCCCAACCAGCCCAATACCAAGCACCCTCCGTCCCCCACCCAGGGAACGTCGGCGGACACGCGCTACAGCGAATCTGCTGAACTTCTTGTAAAGATCTTCTTCGGTCTTCCCCTCCTCCGTCACCTGCTTCTGCATATTCTGCAAGAGGGTGACCACCCTGCGGATCGGGTTGGCGCGCTGGCCTGCCGCCAGGTCCGCGCGGGACGACCGGGACGCGCTGTTCGTGGACACGGCGCCGGCTGCCGCCAGCAGGGCGCACACCAGCGTTGCGCGGAACATGTCTGCTGGGATCAAAGGCGCCGAAATCTGCGTTGATTGGCTGAGGAAAGCAGCTCTTCAGCCAACCGCTTCCATCGAGCTGACGGGGGGAAGAAAAGGAAAAGGAGATTCAAATGGAGGGGCCAGTCAAAACCTGTTCCTGCCAATAAATCGGGACATGTGGTGGCCAAGGGGAGGGCCCCCTTGGCAAGACTTCCCGTGTAGTGCTGCGGAATGAAGACTAGACTGAGAGGATGGTGACAAATTCTGTATCACACTCGCGACAAACTCCCACACCGAAGAGGGTGCCTACGGAATGTGTGAAACATAAATAACGTCCAAGAATCAAGATCACCCATCGATCGATTGAAAATGTACTCATCTCCTCGGCCCGCCCCGTTTAAGTGAGCTTGAAATTATCAATGGGTAAGGGGAGGGGCTCCTAGTCTCCGACCGAGGACGCAACGCATCCTGTCACCTATCAAAAATGCATGCCGCAGAAACCAGCAGCACAGACAACGGCGGCCTGGGTTTTGAGCTCCGCTGTTGGGCAAGGGGATAAAGTTAGTTCCTCCTACAGGTGGATTTTGGAATAAAAAATGAGGATATTCGAAAATACAAACAAAAGAAGGTAGCCCACACAAACAATATCGAAAATCGTCCCCTGACGATTTGTTTGCTATTTTCTGTAGACGGACATACCAGGCTTAAGGGTAGACGCGAAACATCAGACCGACCCGACTTCCCCTGGAGACAACGACTCCGACGCCAGCTGTCGGACTGAAGCTGCCCGGGATCGCCCGTTCTTTGACGGGTCCTGCTTCCGAGCCTCCATCGCCGTATGCTCGGAGGACATCTGCAGTTGACCTGACCGGAGCAGGTGCAAGTGTGCTGCAGTGGACTTGGAGAAGACTTCCTTGGTCATAAAGTCTACTGGCATGTGGGGACGGGGTACCCATCGGGTGATTCCTCTGGGGCCAACGAATCGCGGCACACAGCCAAGTCAATGGCGGCTTTCCGGTCATTATTACTCCCCGAGTTGTCCTTATCCACAGTGTCAAAAGCCCCTCGGCATCAACAACGCTAACACTTCCTTCGGGCCGCATGGTCAAAGAGCAGTTCTGTCTCAACAACAAAACAACGAGGCCGACGCGAATTTCCAGGAAACGTCGAACAGCCCCCACCCACCCACACGTCCTGGAAAAGCACACGAAGCCACTCGGCCTTCGCGAAAAGGGCGTTCAGCGCCGGGGTCTCCCGGGCACGACTGGAAGGGACTCGTCTCTTGAGGCGGCAAGATCTCCACGCCACTGGGGCGGCTCTGGCACTCGACCCGCTGGAAAAAGACGCGCCCGCAGCAAAATTAGCCTCGCCACGCCTGCTAAGGCTTGTCCCCCGCGTTCGACGCAACGCCTCCGCCGTCCGACGCGGTAGCGAACATGGACCCAACCACTCGCAAATTCCAGACAAGTACGGGAACGCCGGCAAGTGATCAACCATCTTATTCAAAAGGACGGCGTCCCCAACCGTCAGAAGGTGCACGCGACTGGCCGGAAGGGGGGCTGTGCCAGACGTTTCGGCCCTGGTTTCGCGGCCAACCAAAGTTGGGGACACCACGGAGCGATAATATCCGATCTCTTTTCCGACCAGGGGGGCAGCATGCTCAGACCCTTGAAATCGGAGAAAGGCAATCGGCGCGACTGCTCCAAAATGAATTTTTCTTGGTCAACCAAGATCGTAACTGGAAGACGACGCGGGTTTCTGCCGATGTAATAGACCCCGTTGTGGAACCCAAGAGCTGGATCTTTCCGTCCTGCTGAATCCTGTCCAAGTCCGAACGCAAGGCCATACACCAGTCGCCTACCTCGATATCGGCCATACCCTCCGGCCCCATGGAGACACTCGTTGTCTTCCAGCAAGACTCAAGCCTGGACTTCACGCATCCCTGGCATCCCTGGGATTCGAAAAAGGAGGCGGCGTTTCCAATAGTTCCACGTAGCGCAACGGGTGCATCGCCCAAACAATACATGGGAGCGATGAATTCCATCAACGCTTCGGGTGCTAGAGCCAAGCCCTCACAGGGCTCCACGAACACTCGGCACTGGGGTTTCACAAGCGGCCCGATTGGCAGAACGCGTATTTGACGTCCCCGAGATCATTTCCGGGCCCGAGGACAGCGACCACGTTAGCAAGAGCATCAGAGACTCCACTTGAATGGCGGGGAAAACACTCGCAACTCGCCGCATCCTCGCCCTCGCGCCCTCGGACGCACCACCTCGACTGGGCCTTGGTCTGCTGAACGCCCGCTAGGGTTTCCGTATCCTAGCCATGCGACTCGAGACCACCCGGGCGGGGCAACGCGCTCGCAGCTCGCGGCCCTCCTCGGGGGTCCACGCACGCAAGGCTCCTGTGTTCCCAATAGCAGCCCACTCGGCCGCGTCGGAAAAAATCAGGGCCAAGGGCCCTCGGAAACCGCTCGCCCGCGCAAGCCAGTTCGGACCGCAGGGCCTCACCGGGATCCGGGGGGAGGGAGCCCCGGAGCCCCCGAGCCAATTCGCAGCCCCCGGGAGGGAAAACTCTCGGGCGGGTCGCCTGCCTGCCCTTCCCGGGCTCGGCGCGGCAGCTCATCGCGCCCTGCGTCGCCCGAGATATCAGAGAGCTGCGGGGGGGGGCGTCGAAGGCGGCGGGCGGAAGACAGCCCGCCCGAGGGGGAGACGGGACCCCCCCTGGCCGCAAGCGGAGATGGGCCTTCTCGCATCACATCCACACCCGCTCGGCGCCGAACTGATTGAACCTCGCGGATAAGCGCCCCCACAGCTGGATCGATCTCGCAACATCTCGCCCCCGCGGGCTTCGGGGCCCGCGGCGGGGCACAGGTGCTCGCCGGCGCAATTCAAGCGCCGGGTTCTCACGGGGGCCCAAATGCCGTCGCCGCGTTGAAACACCGAGACTCCCGGGCTGGCCCAGCGACACTTTGAAGGGCGATGGTTTTCCAATGGGCGAGACACGCACTCAGTCTCAGGGATTGAACTTCG